AAAAATTCTTTTTCCATTAGAAGCCGACATTGTCCCTAATGAACATAGGCTACTTTTTTTTTATTTAATTTTTTGTTTCATGTGTGTTTTAATGTTTCCGAAGCGAAGCGAGGGCGGGTCGCTAGTAATATTATAAAGTGGAAAGATTTGTTTGTTGGTTTGTTTTGAATAGGCTCCGAAACTACTGAACCGATTTGAAAAATTCTTTCACTGTTTGAAAGCTACACTATTCCCGAGTGACATAGGCTAAATAAATAAAACTTCAATAATGTAACCCAAGATGTAAAATATTACCTAAAATATCCTTTACATTGCGTGCCCTGCGAAAATTATTGATGACTAGCTGACCCGGCAGACTTCGTAGTGCCTCAATCAAGAAATATAAGACCTGAACTTTTGTTTAAAATAAACTCAAAACAAACAAAAGGAATCCGTCCGACGGGGGACACATCAAAGGAAAAACTAAATTGTTATTTTTATTTAATTCCGAGCATTTTCATATTTATCTACCTTTTAAACCTTCTCTGGACTTTCACAAGTAAGTCAAGACCAAAATTAGCCAAATCAGTCCAGCCGTTCTCCAGTTTTAGCGAGACTAACGAACAGCAATTCATTTTTATATATATATAGATAGAATAAAAGAATGTACTTTGTAGAACACATTATGATTTACAAAAAGTGTCGCGACAGCATATGTTTCACTATTATAGTTATGCCGAAATAAGTGTTCTTTTATTTTTTTAAATAAAACAACGTCAAATATCGTTGAAATTTTTGTTAAAGACCCGAGCGGAGCCGGAGCGGGCCGCTAGTTCATAAATAAAATGCAATGGAAATGCACGTCACGGAGTAACATGTTTATTATGCACCCCAGTGAGGGGTCGCGACGACCCCATCAAAATCATAATTTCGTCATTTCAATTTATTGTATTTCGCTGAATCAGAAAACTTGAGGACGTTATTTTTTTTTATCTTATCGCTTATACAAACACAGTAAGAGTCGTCATTCAATACTGCGCTCTCATCCTCTGAAGTCTAAGGGCTAACTCACCATCGACTGCGCCGTAAGCTATCAAATCAAATCAAATAAAAAAAATATATTCAACATAAATGAAAGTATATACTTGTTGAACATCAAAAAGAACTACCGCCATTTCACTAAAACTAGCCTCCGTCCTGAGAAGAACTGGCAAGAAACTCAGCGGACATTTCTTTTTTTTTAATATTAGTTTTTTTTTTATATTTACTTTTACAATGAGTATTATAATGTAACAATTATTACAATATTGAAATGCCTGGAGCGAGCAACTCATTTCCACTTTGTGCAATCTTCTGGATAATCGTTGACTTTATAGTAAGCTTAATTGCACAGATGCTCTTTAATAGTTTTCTTAAACCTATGTACCTTTATGTAGGTAATATAATATACCTATGTAAATGTAGGTTCTGAACATCTTGTGGGATTTTGTTGTACAGGCGCACAGACAAACACCCGAATGAATATCATGTCTACAGTGCCAATAAAATTATTAAAATGTGTGACGATTGCTTTTTCACCGCTAACTGCTGGCTTCTATTTGACATTATCTTTCAAAATAACGGTTAAAAGGTCACAAGAGCCACTCTTTATATTTTCCACCGGAAAGCAGCCGTTCATACCAAACTTCTATTGTACCAGTTTAGTAAAAAGAGTTTACAATCTACTTAGTGTACAACAATTGGCGGAGCCCATTGACATCACCAATGGTCACTCGCCTTGAATCCTCACTGCAGAAATCGACAGAACCGTAATATCTACACCTGCACATTCAATATATGGTATATTCCAGCAGTAATTAAGCGAATTGATTGAATTATGTGGTTTTATACTGCTGGTAGGACCTCTTGTGAGTCCGCACGGGTAGGTACCACCGCCTTGCCTATTTCTGCCGTGAAGAAGTAATGCGTTTCGGTTTGAAGGGTGGGGCAGCCGTTGTAAGTATACTGAGACCTTAGAACTTATATCTATACATATACGTTGTAGATGTTTATGGGCTCCAGTAACCACTTAACACCAGGTGGGCTGTGAGCTAGTCCACCCAACTACTCAATAAAAACAAAAAACAAAAAAAATAATAAGGCGATGTTATGCCTTCATCATGGTTGAGGTGACGTGTCGAGTACGTATTTCCGATCGATAGGAGTTCACCTGGCATTCTTATCGGTAAGGCCAGAAACGATCAAACCGCTGACAGGGTGCAATGACCCTGCGTGAACTTGTACCAATTGCCATCCTTCATGAGTCAGTTTCAGGCATAGTTATAAGACTGCAATAGAAACCTATTATTAATACGCTTTTATTAGCTTCAGACTTATGTATGTATATAACGGAATCTTTGAGCATGATTTTGACACCCTTCAAAACGTCGGATTAACTCGGAATTTTGTATGCTTATTAAGGACCGATGACAATTCAATATTTAAAAAAAGAAAAAAAAAATTGAGAAATAATTGAAATTCAACTAAAAAATATAAATTAATAATAGTTTAAAGAAACAAAAATAAATACGTTTTTATAAAAAATCCAACTAAGCAATAGAAAATTAATTTTAATATATTTGAATTAAAAATAGTGTAAGAAAAAATGATTTTATTGTAAAAAAAAAGCGTAGGCAGTAGCTATAAATATTTTACGAACAGATATGAGTAGAAGAGTTATTTTAATAATATCCTGAAAAGCACCCCACGCTTTTTTACAATAAAATCATTTTATCTTACACTATTTTTAATTCAAATTTATTAAAATTTATTTTATATTTTTAGTTGGATTTTCTATAAAAGCGTATTTTGTTAGTTTTTTAAACTATGCTTTATTTTTAATTTTTTTATTATTATCGTATTTACAACGTTACTTAAATCTCGCTTAATCTCACATTATTGCTCATTACTTAAATAATCACATTATTTATTAACGTACGAAGCTAAACTTCTGAAGTATTAGAACTGAAAACTTCCGAAGCGCTCTCTAAATTTAGCAAAAACTTATTTAGCAAGTCCCCTAACAATGGCACTGCCGAGCTGTATATGTTATAGCTTATTTATTCAATCGATACGTACGGAAATAGCTTTGTTGCCAGCATCCCGGATGCCTGACCCACTTTAATTTATTAATATCTGCGGTATTTATGTTATATTGCGTAATGGTCGATTGGTTAATGATCCTAATTACTACTAAGTTCTACTTAAATTCTTAGTCAAATCATGAAAATTTATGGTACTAGCTGACCCGGCAGACTTCGTAGTGCCTCAATCGATAAATAAAAGATCTAAACTTTTGTATAAAATAAACTTAAAATAAACCAAAGGAATCCATCCAACGGGGGACACATCAAATGTAAAACAAAAATGTTATTTTTATTTAATTCCGAGCTATTTCATATTTATCTACCTTTTAAACCTTTTCTGGACTTCCACAAATAATTCAAGATCAAAATTAGCCAAATCGGTCGAGTCGTTCTCGAGTTTTAGCGAGACTAACGAACAGCAATTCATTTTTATATACATATAGATTATAATATGTATAAAATAATAGGTCGTAGGAACCGATATCATTCATTCATTTTTAATGTTCTCACAAAATCGACTTCTAGAAGGAATCGTTTCGGCTTTGAAGGAAGAGAAGCGGGACTGCGTCAGAAAAAATCATTTTTATTGCATTTAAATTTTGGTTCAGTATATAACGAATTATGTAATTTTTTTGTTTTAATTCTCAACCTAAATAATAAGCCATATCCATAATAAGCCATAATTCAAATTTCGAAGGATTTATTTGAAAATCATTTTGGGTAGGGTTAAGTTCATCGTATTATTTAAACTTCGAATCCATTCATTTTAAACTTCTTAAGCGTGTTTAAACTTTGCTAATAACTTGGGCTTTCAATCTCAGCGCGGCAAAGAAACCTTTTAGCTGTCGAGTCAAGGCCAGATGGCTTAATGTTCGAGACCTCGAGCATAATCTCATTAACGAAGGAATTGCTTTAGCCCTATCGCAATGGAAAAATAAATGGACTTTAACATGAACTATTTCGACGCCAGAATCATAAGGTCGTAACATTGTTAAATATTTTTTTTTGCAATAATCGCCTTTAAATTCGTTCATCTCTGATTTTGTTTTTCAAATCTATTTTTGAGCTAAATTATCTTATCATCAACACGACGAGACATCTTATCTTAAAATCTGTTGATGCAGGGAAGACGGAAATTCGAAACTGGCTTGTAACATTCGTAGAAGTTTTTTCTCTCACACTGCTGTCCATTGGCTTCTTTTTTTGGATAAACATTTTTTTTTAAATTGATCAATTGGATGCACTAGCTCACAGCCTACACGGAATTAAGCGGTAGCCGAATCTCGTAGGGATCACATGAACGCCGTTCCAGACATGAAGCCAAAGTCTCCAGTATATTACTTAGCTGCTGCTCTGCGCCAGAAATCCCTCAGACACGGCCCACTGAGTTCCTCGCCTTCTCAGTGGGTCCCGTTTCCGATCCGGTGGTAGATTCTGCGAAGCACGGCTCTTGCTAGGGTTCGTGTTAGCAACGTCGTCAGGTTTGAGTCCCGTGAGCTCACCTACTAGTTAAGGTTACGCTGAAATAGCCTCTCAAGGCTCTAAGCTTAGGTAGAAAAAAAAAGCCAGAAATTGAACCTTAACACAAAACTACTAAAAAAAATAATGCTAAATCTATCTACAAGCAACGAAATAAATACACTCTCGTATTTCATCAAAGCCGAGAGCTCAACATAAAATTCCTTCAAAACACCATTACTCTTCTCGAATGACTCACCGAACCGCAATTACATTAACAAAACATCTATTTAAATTTTCAATTCCAAAAAAAAAAATCCGTGCTTCTTATGTAACTAAATTTCTAATTCTGGAGGGGCAATGTCCTTGACACGAGCCGCTGGAGACGCGTTGCGGCGAAATTCACAGCCGGAATATATGGGTGATCTTCTCTCTTACCTGGCCAGGCGTCGCGTTCTCCGTCGTCATCTCTTCGAAGGGAGCTAAGCTACTCTTCCTCTTTTTTCTTTGACATGAACAACAGTCTATTAGCCGGGACAGTTTAAATTAGACCTAGACAGTCAGCATTACACGGTATCGATTTTCCGGTCGGCACGCACACACGGGAGCCCTAAGCACGGCAATAAGTTCTCACCAACATTTTCCACGGGAAACGAAATAATCATGAATTTGCATGAAGAATTGGATTTGATATATCCAAAAACGACGGTCTCTATTCACGATCCGCCATTTTCCGTATTCAAACGATCGACTATAACTGTTCTGTTTTTTTTCTTTCTTTCTCTTTATAATGTTCTTATTTTATTCGCACATGAAGCCCTCAATTCGAGAAGTACACGAATTATTTTTTTATTTATTTAATTTTCGATAAGACACAATTTTTAGACTAGTTGTTGCGTTTAGCTCACCACCGGGGTGTAGAAGAATTTGCCGGCTTCGGAATAATACAGCTTGGGTGGGGTGGAACGCAATACGCTTGCGCGGGGGCGACTTTCTCTGTGTGCGAATTGCGTGGACACGTCCAATATACCTTGATCTTTACCTCCCCTTCTGATTTGACACGTGTTTATACAAATGGGGGTTGGTTTTCCCGGTAACTGAGGTCGCGTTCCTCTGGTTTATAAGCGTGCTTTAATACAATCGATAATATGGAGCGCTCGGCTAGGAAATGTCAGACACGTCGGGGCCTGTGCAAAGGAAATGAAATGAGTTTGCAAAGCATACAATGGCGTTCAAAGCAAATTATTAAATTAGTAAGCATTTGAATATTAAAGAAAAATGTATCGTTTTTTCACTAAAACAAACGTTCAAAATATTTACAAAAATTTAACTTCCACATATAGCACTTCGGTATATATTTTTGGAACGGACTTCTATAGACTTTATTTAAAAAAAAGTTCTTATGAATTATATAATATTTTAAGATGTAATTTAGTTTAAACAAACACATTCACCACAAAATAAATCACAAACAAGCTTAAAAATTCATAACCTTTAAACATGCATATAGTTAAAGCATTGAAGAGCTTGTCCCAAAATTCTTCTGAAGTATTTATTAATTGAATGATTTAATTAACACAACCTTATTTCCTACTCTATCTTTCCAGTTTAGTAAATATTTTCACAAGTTACCAGTATTGGTAAGTTTACTGTACTAGTAAGTTTACTGGTGGTCGGACCTCTTGTGAGTCCACACGGGTAGGTACCACCACCCCGCCTATTTCCGCCGTGAAGCAGTAATGCGTTTCGGTTCGAAGGGTGGGGTAGCCGTTGTAACTATACTGAGACCTTAGAACTTATATCTCGAGGTAGGTGGCGCATTTACGTTGTAGATGTCTATGGGTTCCAGTAACCACTTAACACCAGGTGGGCTGTGAGCTCGTCCACTCATCTAAGCAATAAATAAAAAAGTGGAAAAAATAATAAATATTTTATTTCTTAAGTGCGTCCATGTATTGTGTTCAGTTCAAACCGTCTCCGTGGATATTTTTCCGTTTGTTCTTCAACCACAGACGACTAAGTTTCAGCCATCTCTTTGATTTAGTGGTTCGAGAATGAGACTGTACAGTCTTGATTTGATTAATGGTTTCAATCAGATTCTTCGTTGTTCGAGATATTTAGTAAACAAGGTATGGATGACCGTAGCACAGGCAAGCACATCGAGGGACATTAAATGCAGAACGTTTGTGAATTATTTTTGTTTCTAAATTTATTATTATTATTTTTTTAATTAAATTATTATATAGATGATTTTGGAGTCATCGCCTATGGATTAAAAAGTCCGATGCATTCATATCGAGTGATGCGTCTGTGCCGGTGTTTGAATCACTTAAAAATTAATGGGACCTGAGTTCGTCCACCCATCTAAGCTATATACATTAATATAAGGTATTTACGTACAAATTTGCCGTTTAGTATCTGGCGTATAGAGTTAGTAATGATTTTTATTATTTTTATTTCTATCAATCAAAATTTGTACCCATAATATCGATGCATCTTCGTCAGCGCAACGGTAATTTCTCAATGCCCTTCACGAAGAAGTCAGGTGTACGGGAGCCAACAATTCTTCAGAAGTACTTTTTTTTTTTTTTTTAATTCCTTTGGCCCGCGGTCTGCTCACAACACCATGCAGATCGTTGAGTCTCACATACCCCGCGCGCCCCTCTTGCGCGGGGACCTCGTAGGACCTCGAAAAAAAAAAAAAAGTACTTTGTACCTACCTTTTGTGTATTAGCTTTTTTCCCTGGCAGTAGGAAGTAGACTAAGCTGTCTAAAAAATAGAAGTCGGTTTTGTGAGTACGATGGCTCACGCAAAAATTCCAGTCCTAACTCTTCTTATAGAGACATGAGCTATTAACTAAAACTGGCCGAATAAGTGAGCTTCTCCATCACTGTGTTCAGTTCCTCACGGTAGGCATCTGCAGTAATGCTGGTTCCATTTGGTAAAAAAAATCTGTAACAAATTATACCGAGACTGACTATTGTCAACTATTGCCTTTAATTTGTCGTTGTTGACTAGTTGTATATGTTAAGTGACCAAGGGGTCCATTTTTAGATCAAAATGTCATTAATGCTGTGAGCGGTGCCGCTATTGTTACCGCGACGGAACTCCGTATTATATTTTATCTATAATTTCTTTATCATGTTGTTTCTTGCTTTTTTTTTTGGTCAGGAGGAAATCGCCGGACTTCCGCCCTCCACTGGGGATAGAGGGCGGAGCATGTCAGAGTCGAACTGACTAAAACCTCCTGTCGCTCAACAACCAACGTCCAAACCTCGCATGAGAACTCTCGAAGAGTCTCGAACTCTCTTAACTCACGAAGAGGCAAAGGGGGGAAAGTGAAGCGTTTAGTGCGGAGCACATCTCTCCCATCTCCCCCCACCCTTGGGACGCCGGACCGGCGGTCGTCGGCGCCACGACCACCAGCCCTCTCTGCTGATTGTTTTTTTATTTCTTTGTGTCTCTCGTGTTTTAATTTGTTTATATTGGTATTGGAGGACCTTTAATTGGCTCTTTGTATATATTGTTTGTTATATTATTATACTATGTTAGTTGGCTGTTGGTTCTCCTTGTAATAAATAAATAAATATCGATGAAAAATATACAAACGCAATGAACACGCCAATCAATAAACAACTGACTAGATTTGAAAACGGTTTTCCTGTTATTAAAATAAAATTGATTTCAATTTAGAATTTATTGCCAGCCATACATAAATTACGTTTCAGTTGGCCAGTAGTGCAAAACATCAACTTCATAGGTAAGAGATCTATTATTTTACAATTGTAATTAAAAATTCAATCACACACAAGTACAAGTAAAGTAGTAACACAGAAGAAAACTGCTCGCCCACCTGTCCTGGTGAAACTGGCAAGGCCTGCGGGCCACCAGTAATCACTCAATCATTAAAAAAAACAGAAGAGAAACGCGAAATGTTTTCTTTTTTCCCTATCTATGCTGATAGAGGCTATTTCAGCTTCTTCTTGACGCGTAGGTGAGCTCACGGGGTTCTAATCGGGGGTGCAACATTGGCTCTAAGCAAGAGCAGTGCTTTGGAGACTCTACAATCGGATTGGAAACACGACCCACTGAGAAGATTCGGCGAGAAACTCAGTGGGCTGGTCTATGGGTTAATACACTCGTCGAGCCCTTAGTCGCAAGCGACGGGTTCCACGAGGACGGTGACCGGCGTAAAATGTAAAAACTAAACGAACTAAAACAAGTGATCTCTCTTAATAAAAATCCAGATTTTCATCGAGGTGACTTTATAAAAAGAATATCAAATGCAAGGTGCACTTTAAACTAATACTGCTCTCTGTTCACGTTCTGTTTTCAGAGATCCGCATGCCGTTTTATAATTAGAACGCGAATACCATTCCTACGGATGGTTCCGTATTTATATGCTAATGTCAAACCAGATGTTTTATTTTTGTTAGCCAGATTTACCGCAACGTGAATTGAATTATTTATACTAAAACGCGTTTTGAATATTTCGTTTGAAGTAGTTAGTACTCTTGCGATTCGCAACGCGTTGAAATTCCTCAATTTTTGTCAACACTCTGGTCGATTCTCACAACGTCGCATATGGCCCTAATGGCTCCACGACCATTTCTCTGGGGCTTTGCCCTGGGTCTTTGTAACTTTAAGTGTTCCTCAGATCTCTTTATTGTGAACCCTAACAAATATTTAAACACACCGCCTATAGCATCTTCATTTCTCCGGTTGTATTTAGATTTATCTTTAGATGCTTGTTTTTATAAAATAACTCGGAGCAAGTCTCATTTATGCTTTTGATGCAGTGTGACAGTTTTTCTTTTATTGCATTGATGGTCCACCTGGTGTTAAGTGGTTACCGGAGCCCATAGACATCTATGACGTAAATGCCGCCCCACCTTGAGATGTGAGCTCTAAGGTATCAGTATAGTTACAACGGCTGCCCCACCCTTCAAACCGAAACGCATTACTGCTTCACGGCAGTAGGCAGGATGGTCGTGCCTACCCATGCGGACTCACAAGAGGTCCTTTCACCACTAACGCAAATTATAATTTTGCTGGTTTGATTTTTATTACACGATGTTATTCCTTCCCGTGAAAGTCACTCGTGAAGATTTGTTAAGTACGTATTTCATTAGAAAAATTGCTACCCACCTGCGGAATTCTAACATCGTTGCATCGCTTGATATGAATGCACCGGACATCTTATCCTTTAGGCCACGTCGACTTCTAAGTTGGAACAGCGCCCTTACGTTTGCCTCTAGGGGCGCTGCTCCAATAAATTTGAGTTAACTTTTACGCGATCACCGTCCTCCCCGAACCCGTCGCTTGCAACGAAGGGCTCGACGAGTAAATTAACCCATAGACACAGCTCACTGAGTTTCTCGCCGGATCTTTTCAGTGGGTCGCGTTTCCGATCCGGTGGTAGATTCTGCGAAGCACTGCTTTTGCTAGGGCCAATGTTAGCAACATTCCCGGTTTGACCTCCGTGAGCTTACCGACACGTCAAGGAGAAGCTGAAGGCTATCAGCATAGGTAAGAAAAAAAAAAACAATTTCTAACACCACAATTGTCAGGCACGGTTTCACGAACAAATCTCTCGAACCCTAAATCCATAAATATAATAATGGTCATATAACGAGCGAATAGCCTGTTTCTTAAAAACAGACACATTCTGTTTACATGTATAGACAAGACGAGAACGTGGAGATTAATCATCGCGCTTTAATTTTAGAGGGTAGACAGTATAACAAGGCAATGATTAATAGCCGTTACTATTCGTTTGGTGGTTGCGAATTTGGCTTTTTTTCTTCTTCCAAACTATGATGTTTTTGACCTGACTTATTTTAGGCATTAGATCCAATAACAATGTATAACTATAGGTTGCACAGTGTACCTAAGATATATGCTGTATTAACACAGTATCGTAC